GTATAAAATCTCAGTCGTGGGTATCAACCGTTTCCACATTTGTAACACAACCCCTTATACATTATGTGTGGGACAGGCGGGCATATCTACACCGGCGGTCGCTACCAGGTGAAACTCTGTCTACCCAGGTATTTCAGGGCACCCTCATCCAGTCACCCTAGCCGTCTTCTCAATGATTCACTCGGGTACATCTCAGGAGTGCTCCCACCACCGTCATCCAACGACATGTACATCTGCAAACTTAATGGCGGCTGGAGTCCATTCCTGGTCAGCTCTCATGTCAACATTATCCCAGGCCGTTACTGTTCATCAAATAGCGGCACTCTTACCTTCCACCATCGGTAAAACGTTTTACCTTGACTGGTGGCAATCCTGGAACCTCCGGAAGCGTCAGTGTATACACACATGTGTTACCAATGCTGCCTGCTAAGTTCATGACCTATGTATATATGTATATGTACGACACACCAGCACTAGTAGTACTACATGTACAGGAACTTGATGAACAATGCATAACAGCCATAAGGATATTCATACCATGTTATGAACACATGTGTACACAGTGGCTACTTAGCACAGCCTTTCATAAGCCCATGATGCATAGAGGGTTTAATAATTACGTATGGTCTACTACACCAATCAAACTGGCTGCCTTACAGCAGCATGAATTCAAGGCTTTGCAGCCATTTGCAATGGGCAACCATCCATCCTAGTGGGTCAAGCAACAACACCCATCACACAACAGCCTTTTAATACCATGGCTCGAGATATGTACATGTTGTAGCATGCATATGCATGTGCAGAAGGAGCAGGCATGCATGCCAACTCCATCCCGACACATAGATCAAACATTAATCATGATGCTAGTTAGCAGTATGTAGCAGGCCCTCAATTATACCGACCATCCCTCTGTACTTGTTTCCATGCCCCAGAAGTCACAACTACGTCTAACCCTTAATGTTGTTCCCCTTCAAGGCTGATGATATCTGCTTTGTACTGACGCCCAGGGTATCACACGCCCAGGGCACAGCATGTCTGCCCTTGTCGTTAGCCAGGATGCCCAGAACAGGCCAGGATACCTGCATATATAGGAAGTAATGAAAGCTTGTCAGGATACAGGAACTGCTGGTGGTTAATGAATGTCCTGTCGTTCCTTACTTTATCAAACATGGTCAAGGGGTAGTCCTTGATGGCGAGTGTCTTGGTAGGCTCAGGCAGGGTAAATTTTGCACGGTGGTGCAGCCCCTTCATCCTGCCAATGACCAGGATCTCAATGGTGTCCTCAATGGAAACCGATGCCTGCACCACCAAAGAATTAGTAAAACCGGATCCAACTGAGTAATCGGTTGCAGAAAAGGCCAAATTATATGTTGCAAGTTAGAACACAGAGTGTACAGCAATCTGCCATAATATATACTTGCCATGTCACTGAGCACCAAGCCCGCCCCAAGCACTGATGGTGTGCTCGGCTTGTCTTTGGAGCCGCCCACCAGATAGCAGCCAATCGTCTTGTCAGCCAGGTTGTACTTGTTGAGGTAGGACACGTGGCCGCCTGCCGACTTGTACTTGTCCATCTCCTCCAGGCTGTCATCCAGAAGGGAGGCCCAGCAGTAGGGGTCAGCAGGAGCAGCATTTCCTGGGCCCTGCTGCCGTGTTGTCCTGCTGTACTACCGCGGTGCCATCTTCAGCCGTGTCCAGAATATTATGATTAGGCACCTGGGCACCCTGCTGGGCAGGGGTTGGCTCATCACCTGCAGAGTCATGCATGACATGAATGCCCAGGTCAAATTGTAGGCAAGCAGGAGGGATGATGGCATGTTGAGGAGCAACTGACATTTACCATGCATGCACATATACATAGAGCTTGGGTTCCTGTGTACATACACATGTGCTGGCTAGCGCTATTGCACATGGATTGACTAGGTGCAGGCAGCGGGAGGCATCACATGTCCTGTTGTCACTCTGGGAAAACGGGGGTCATTTTACCCGTAATTTTGGGTCAATCCACCCGTAATTTGACAGATATTACGGGTCCGTAACACGTTACGGGTCTCGTAATTTGAGCACAAGGATACAGGTGAACATTTACGGGTGAAGACCCAGTGATTACGGGTGGATTTTACGCGGTGCTGGAGGTGAATTACGGGCGCATGTAACCAATTACACGCAGAATTACGGGTGAAGACCCAATGATTACGGGTGGATTTTACACGGTGCTGGAGGTGAATTACGGTCACATGTAACCAATTACACGCGAAATTACGGGTGAAGACCCAGTGATTACGGGTGGATTTTACGCGGTGCTGGAGGTGAATTACGGGCACATGTAACCAATTACACGCGAAATTACGGGTGAAGACCCAGTGATTACGGGTGGATTTTACGCGGTGCTGGAGGTGAATTACGGGCGCATGTAACCAATTACACGCGAAATTACGGGTGAAGACCCTATTGAAGAATTGGCGACGGTGACGGCTAACGCTGATTGTTATTCCGGAAGGATTGCCGGTGGCGAAGATATTTAGCACGATAAACTGTTACAAGTAATGTAAAGAGTATTGTTAGCGTTCGGCAGGACTTGAGGAGATTCCTTTGAGGAATACCGATCGTTGTGAGATAAACTAATAGGCGC